GAGGTACCATCATAGGCCCCTACCAACACGTTTTTTATCTTGGCCGGTTGTGCCGCCTAGGTTATCTCAGGGGAGAACGCCGAGGGTTGTTCTCCCAAGTTTAGCAGGCGCTGCTGCCAGTCCATGAGTTGGAACGGTTGCTGCACATTTCTGCCAAACGGACCCGTTTGGGTAAAAGGGGATCCACCCAGCCCATTCGGCGAACCGAACAGACCAGGCTGGATCACTTTGGGTCCAGACCGGGCGGATGGTTCGCCCGTCTGACTTCCTAGTCTTGTTCCCGTACGCATGTTAGAGGTGTCACGGAAACTATCAGGAAAGGTCGACGTTGAAGCCGACGCAGACGCCAGACTTCTCTTCTCTTGGAGAAACGTCCGGGCGTCAGAAAACACCTTTTTGGAACCATCCGGCTGCAAGTGCCGGATGGGTTTTCTGGGCTCTGCTTGGGGGAACGATTTTGATCGAACCGAAGGCCTTCCCCCTCCTTCGGTATTGGATGAGGGGTAGGGACTCGGTCTTTAATAGCCTTCTTGCTAGAAGAAGGCTTCTTGGTCGGCTGGCTTCTCTTGGGAGTAGCTGACCGGATGAGGTTCTGGATCTCGCCCTTGAAACTATTCATGAAAGTCATGAGTTCGTTCCGAGTTACGGGAGCAGAATCCTCTGCCGCCTGGGCATCCCCAACCGTGTTGCCGGCTGGGTTGCTTGGAGCAACTTGGATGCTTTCCCGTTCCTTCTTATCCTTGGAACAGGTGTGCTTTGTTCTGAAGGACCCGTTTGGGGCCACATAGGTGTTGAGTTCGTACTCATCACCGCTTTCATGGTCCGTCTGGACCTCAGGCTCAGCCGATGGCCGCCTGTCCTGATCCGGTGGTACAGGGTTAGAAGCCATCTCAGAAGTACTCTCCCCACAGACGGCGCCAAATGTTTCGGGGTTTTTTTATGTGTCCTACGGGAGAGTTACAATTCCAAGAATGCCCTTCGACCGCCTGTACCTGCAAAACCACGAAGACTCCGGTTGGGTGGGCTCCGCCTCCGACGATCAAGTCAGTGATGTACGGGAGGAAGAAAGTGCGTAAGAAGGGTAATTACTTCTCGCATAATGGGAGAAATCCGCAATTAAGATTGCTCGGTTTTAGTGTAAAATGTATTTATGATAGTCTTGAATTGGAAGAAATTGAATGCCCCATTAATGAGGATTCTCCCACTATTTATAGTGGGGAGCATTGGTTCCCCAATTAGGGTTCCTAGGACACGTGTCAGCAGGGGATTGGAGCCCTGCTGACCAATGGCAAGATGCCACGTGTCGCATTGCCATTGGGCCACGTGGCTGGGGTTAAATTACCTCAAACAATATTCAAACAAACAAGTGGGTTGTGACATTGAGAAAAAAGCCTAAAAAATTCTCTGCTCTCTCTTCAAACCTAGCCACCATAGTAAAACTTAGGGGCTGTCATCGATTTTATCGATGGTAAGCCCCAAATATTTTTTCAATTTAATGTTTTTAGCCAATAAAGATCACCAACAACATGGTGATTATAGTCAGTTCCTCTATATAGGGTTTAGTCAGTTCCATAGTGGTGGGATTTTTAGTATTGTTCGTTTATTTGTTTTTCGTGTGTACAGTGATACAAGTTTGAAAGATTTGTCTTGCAAATTTGTGAAATTGCGGGTCTGTTGGTTTAGGGGTGCAGATTTAGAAGATTAGTCTTGCAAATTTGCCGATCTTGATGACCAATTAAGTTTTATCACTTTCGCGACTATTCATCAATGGAGCTCTGTCAAAAACGATGCAAAGATATATAAAATTATTCAATAGCAGTTCAGAAGCGATGTTAGTTTAGAGGTATTTAATACTTGTATTGAGATTTTAGATCTCTTAAGGGATGATTATAAGTGTCGAATGACTATTATTATTTAATAAAATCACCCCACCCTATTCCATTCAAAAAAAAATAAAAAGTCTTTGCACACATATATCCTTAAAAGCTTACCAAAGTCTTCATATAAGCACCCATTTAAGATAATAGTAAGAGATTTTTTTTTTCGTACTCAATTTTAACACACTTATCACGCATAATGGTTGTGCCTTATACTAAGAAAAACTTATGACATGCAATAATATGGAGCTTTGCGTGAATCATTCATTAGTTTTAGATTTGTAGACAGAAGGATTTTCTAATTTTCGATCTTATAACATGTGTAGATACAAAAAGTAAATGTGTACGTATCAAAGATTGACAATTAGCCCCAAGAATTTAATACACGTCATTTCAACACATCTATACTATCAAGTATTTTAGTGAAGGAACTCCTTAAAAACAAGGTGCATTTTATTGGTATGAATAGTGTATCAAGATTTTTTTTAGGTAAAGCAATGTATCACAATTCACAACGTTAAGTTAGCCTCCTCAAGAATAGTGGAGAAATGTTTTTGTTATATGTGAAGTTTAATGATGTTTAATGGTAAATAAGCCTCACTAAGTCACTATTTAGATTTTGCATTTTTTGAAAAAACAAATGAATAATACTTCTTATCAATCAATCAAAGAATTTTCATCAAGTACCCTAAGACTTCTTATATATTACTTACTTCCGTTTTTTTTTAATTGACACGTATTCCTTTTTAGCAAGTTTATTTTTAGTTGACATGTTTCTTTTTTGGGTAAGTTTTATACCTTGCTTTTTTAGTGTACCCTACTTGCTTTATCATTCTCTTTCATTCTCTCTCCTCTCCTTAATATGTGTGCCTAAATTGAACGTGTTAGTTAAATAGAAACGGAGGAAGTATTAGGTTAAGCCTTACATGTTTAAAGCTTAAATTAAAGAACATTCAAATGTTTTCTTTATCAATCAAGGTCAGGTTTATCATGTACCCTTAATTTATTTTCATACATGCACCTTGTACTCTTGTAGCCTTATTGACAATTAGACTTGCTAAATTATTACCACGTACATTTAATGACGTACTAATAAATAGTGAAACCTTGTTAACTAGCCCCCTTTCAATTAAAGCCAATGGGCCCTATTATTACCCCATTTCTCTCCCTATCCGTTACGAACACCACATTTATAAAGGTTATAATTTTTTTAGTTTGTAGTTCTTCCATTTTATTAATATTGTAACAAGGATAAAATTACGCATCTTAAAACACATTTTATATGTTAAATATGTATAATTGTATAAGAGTAAAAATTATAAAAAAGTTGATATTTTGTAAGTATTTTACGAGACGAATCTAACAAGATCTCATATGAATATATTTTACTTAATATATAAATCATGATATGTGGTCAAACAAGCATGATAAATAGTGCAAAAGTTCAGTTGTTGCAATATTACTAGAACGGAGGAAGTATATTACATTTAAATGATTCGTATTTGTATGGGTAATGAACTAATGACATCCTTCAAAAGAAAAGGGGTCATGAATAGGGATGTCAATGGGGTGGGTCAGGGCGGATGTTGGCTTTGCCATCCCCATCCCCACCTAAAATTTTATACTCATCCCCACCCCCGCGGGAGGTCCAAAACTCATTCCCATCCCCGCCCCGGTGGGAACAATTCCAAAACCATCCCCGCCCCGCCCCGCCCCACCCCCACTTGGATATCCACGTCCACCTAATTCCCACCCAAAACTCGCTTCACATATGCACAAATCCTACATAATTAATATAGAATACAATTTTTTTTTTTTTTTAAAAAAAAAAAATCAATGTCAATACTACACATTTTTTCTTTTGTTTATATATAAGTGTATTACAAAGTTTTATATTTACAAATTTATTTTACATAATTTTTTTATAAAATAGTACAAAAGTATATAATTTTGTTTAGATGTGGGTATGAGGTGAGGATGAGGCGGGTACGAAGTAGGGCGGTTGGGGCGGGGCGGTTATGAAGTGGGGCGGGTAGGGCGGGGTGGGGATGGGGCGGGTAGGGCGGGGTGGGGATGGGGCGGGTACAACCTAAAATCTACCCCACCCTATCACCCATGACGGGTATGGTTTTCATCCCCGCCTCACTAACATCCCTAGTCATGAACTCATGATATATTACAAATTTGAACATTTATAGAGTATATTTTAAGTTATTATAAAATAAAAATAAAAAAAACTTTGTTTAGTATTGGTTTAACACAAATTCTTAAATGTGGCCAGCCATTATCGAAGTTACTACGTTAGTGTTATATTGGTTACCCAGTCAGTGTTACAAGGGTTATTTGGTCAGTGTTAGGGGTTATTCGATCAATGTTATAGGGGTTATTCGATCAGTATCACCGATTTGCAGGAGTTACTCGATCAGTGTTGTAGGGATTACTTTGTTCTTTTACAAGCGGCCACATAATGCGGCCAATCGCACACAAAATGCGCCTGTAGTTTTATTCACGTATTTATCTATTCACGTAATTATCATAAATATTTTTTTTTGTTTGTTTGTTTGAAATGAGATATAAATAACGATTTAGGAGACCTTTCTCTAAAAAAAAAATATTTTTTTTTGTTTGTTTGTTTGAAATGAGATATAAATAACGATTTAGGAGACCTTTCTCTAAAAAAAAAAAAAAACAATAGCTAAGAAATCCCAATCAATAACTAACATTGCAAATAAAGAATCAGAATGAGTATAGATGAGGAGCTTTAATTATCAACATAACTTTATTATTTCCCTAAACAAACAATAATTTAAAATTTTTCTTTCTCCCATCCCCCCTTAATTTTTTCTTTTCCCCCCTTTTTCATCACTCTCTCGGTCTCTCCCCACCAATCAAATTTCATATGACAAAAAATTTTAATTCTTTTTTTTTTTTCCAAAAAAAGTATATACACCAACAAAATAATGGCAACTTTCAACCCACTCCACTTCACTCTATTCCATCCTCCCATCTTCTCTCAATCTTCTCACACCCTCAACTCCACAACCCCCTCTCTCTCATCACTTTCTCTCTCTAAAAACTAGTGTTAAGACAACCAAAAAAAACTACCAAAAAAAAAAAAAAAAAATGTTTGAAGAAGCAATATCCTTACTTTCAATTTGGGCTTCCATGAATAGTTGGTTAACACCAACTGTGCTATTCCTTCTCCTCAACCTCATGATCGGCACGATCGCCGTCACTTCCGGCTTCACTTCCCACAAACCCTCCCATCACCACCACTCCCACCACCTCCACCACCATCACAACCACCAATCACCACCGCATCAACCACCGCAACAAATTCAACCCCAATTATCCCGCTCTTCTTCCGTCCTTCAACGCCTTAAATCGATCAATTTCTACACCTACTACGCCCCGCCACCCACCACCCACTTCCAACAACCACCACCGGCGCCGTCACCGCCGCCACCATCTCCGCCGCAACAACAACCGGATCCCACTCCGGAACCCCACCAACCTACCGTCACAACCACTTTCTCCGCCGCCGACCTCGCCGGAGAAGAAGAAGACGATGAGAGACCCACTTTGGACGAAATCTACAGCAGAATCAAGAACGACAACTCAGTTTCTCACTACAATCGACAAAATTCCGACACTAAACCTTCCGGCGGTGAAATCCCAGTAAAATTATCGAAGAAGATGAAGAAATCTGCCAGTCATAAATCTGCTTTCAACCATTTTCATGTTGAACCAGAAAACCATGAAAATGCTCGTCACACGGCCGTGCCGACTACTGTTATGGAGGATTTTGAAGAGGAGAGAGAAAATGCACCACCCGTGCCGCTGTTTAGGGAGGAGAGAGAAAGAGAAGATTATGATAATGGTGTTGATGCAAAAGCAGACGATTTCATCAACAGATTTAAGAAACAGTTGCAAATGCAGAGGAATGATTCGATTGTTCGATATAAAGAAATGATTTCTAGAACTTCTGCTCAGTAAGCAACCTTGTTCTTAATTAATCAATCGAATTTTCTTCTACTTTTTCTTTTTTTTTTTTTAAGGAAAAAAATGTTAGTCTCCCCATTTTTTGGGTTATTAAGATTTTCCATTATGGTGTTGATTACGGAGTTAGTTTTTGGATCAATGAAGTATTGATTAAGTTAGTGAAGAAGATTAGTCGCAAAGACTCTGGATTAACGCAAATTCTTGTATTAGACGGTTTGGCGGTCAGATGAGGTATTAGTTCGATTTAACTTGATGTTGTGATGGTCAGACTAGGTGTTGACGTGTTGTTAGTCAAGTTCGGGTTGACGTAAATTCTTGTATCAGACAGTGTGAAAGTCAGACTGGGTATTAGTTCGATTTAACCCGAGGGAATTAGGTGGTTGTGTAAAACTGTAAAGTGGGTTTATGGTATTATTGGTGATGAATTATGATGATGATGATAATTATGAATGATGATGATCTGTTAGAATTTATACTATAATATGGTTGCTAATTATGGACCGTTTTTCGTTGCAAAATATTTTTAAAAAAGGGAATTAATATTACTGTATTATTTTGGCTAATTATTTATTTGGATGTTTATACTTTATGTAGAAAATTACTATATTAAGTGGTAGTTATGGTTTTGTCACATTATATTCTGCTGTGTGATCTGATCTGCTGCTCACCGACATGAATGGAAGAAGAACAAGGACAACTGCAGCTTTTTTCTTACTCTGAATTTTTTTTACCAGCCATATTTTGTGAAAAAGGGTAGTTTAGTCAATTACTCAATATGGCAAGTTTTTGTGATGGTGGTGACACTTCTGGTTTCCTAAATTGCGTTAAACTCTTTCGTCTTGATTTAGTTGTGACGAATGATTTCTGACACAAATTTTTTTAAGGGAGAATGACATAACAAATTTTGTGAGAGTGTAGAAGTAGACATAAAAGAGTGAGTGTAAAGCGTTATCCAAACTTTGTGAAAAATACAGATTTTGTTTAAACCAAATTGAATTTGAAATTGTTTTGTTTTGGTCTAAGTCGGCCACAACCGCCCAGTCGACCACAAGGGTATTAGTCATATTACAAACAGGGAATAAAATTTGAACCATTAAAGACCTGTATTATTCACTTTATTTTCATTTATTTTATATATAATAAGTCTAGTTAAGTTCAAATAAGATAAATTTAGGAAAAATTGTAATAAAAGTTACCCAAGTTCAAATACGAGTAAGTTCTAAATATGATAATATTGTAAGGTCAGGTAAGTGAAAAGCACGTGAACAAAACACGTCCTAAATTATACAAGGTCCGTCAATCTTTGTCATATCGAAACTTTATTTGCGAAAACTAAAGTAGGAATAAGATATAGTTGAATGGACAATGAGGATAATTGAGCCTTTATACATAATAAGGATGGTAGATATGGTGATGGACCTGATGGTTTATTGGTGTCTTTTATCTTTGGACCATATGAGTAATGTGACAAAGTGAGATGGAAAAACTCAAAAATTTGGAATTTAATTTGTTTAAATTTGTTATTGAGTACTAACAATAAAAATTGAGGAGAAAATGGATGGTTGGCAAAGCACGTGGGATGATATTTAAGGGCATGTGGGTGTGATGTGAGTGTTGATTACATCAAATTGGTAAGAAATCACAAATTGGTCACCTGGACAACCAAATAGTAACATGTAGGAAAATCAAATGAAAATATACTGTACTATACTAGGACTACTCAGTTTTTGTATAATTGTACCATTTGTATGTACAAACAATTGCCAATTGGCAACGTGGAGTGCCAGACGCCATATTCTTTGGTCGTTTCTTATGCCATATACTACCAAGTAAGCATGGAGATGGAGTCCTATTTTGGAGATTCTCTTTTTGCAAATATTGGATCAAATAAGTTAAAAAATACAATAAATTTAGATAAAATAAATAAATAAAAATCAAGTGAATAAAATACACGTTAAGTAGAAATGTTGAATATAATTAATCTATACATTAAAAATCAAGTGAATAAGCTTGTTGGTGAAGTTGGTAGGGAAATCTCATTGTGACATTGAGTTAGGTCACAACATCGAGCCCTATCAAATACATTTACTTGGGCGTATGGGGATAGGATTCTCTTACCTCTCCCTCTATTTTCAAACGTAGACCTGCGAACCTAAGCTGATTTAACTACTAAGGGATGCTGATTCAGTAGAGTTTTTTTAAAAAAAATTAAGTAGCAATATATGTTGAAAATTGTGGGGGGTAAAACTGACTATGTTCCCTTCATGTAATATGAAGTATGAGCTAATAAGGTATTGTAGTATGGATTTTTTTAGCCCTAAGTCCTAATCTTTTTTGTTTAATTTATTGTATAATTAAATTGTTATTCTTATAATTTGTCTAAAATATGTTGAATGGTTTAATATGACCAGATCTTAATAAAATAAGGTGAAGATGACAAAGCTTAACTACTTAAAAAAGACATATAAGATACTAAAAGGCATTAATAAATTATGTAGTTCGAAATTAGTATCAAACCTTAAAAGCGTCAATATGTTCATTTCTCCAAGCACAACAAAATAATTATATCTATGAGCTTGTAAATTGTAATCATCTTGAATAGGACAATAATCACATTAGGTGAAAAATCACATTGGCTTTATCTCACCCTCAGTCCCTCACTAAACAAACCAACCAAAAAAAACTGCACAAAATATAAATGGTTGTTACCATCAGCGTGAAAAATACACTAATAAAACAGTCAGATTTTTGTTGCTTTTAAAAACCTTTGAAAAGAAGGCAACTTATTACTGCATTAGCTAACTCAACCACGATAATCGACAGTTGTTCTTCTTGTTGGAGGGGCCCCCTTTTATAGTTATATTGCTGCATGCCAGCTATTTCCTACTAATCCCAGCCTCTTATCATTTTTGTTTTTTTAAGCTGTGAATGGATTCTCTTATCAGAATTATCGATCACCTTATTTAAATGATCATACGAGTATTAATTAATCACTATAACGAGGTATAACTGTACAAGACGGTTAACTCTCGGCGCATACTAGTTATGGATTTAGAAACATATAGGATGGCAATCTTGTAATTAGTTGGAACTTTGTAACATGTATGTGGGTCATTTAGCTGCCAAGTGTGTAACGATACAGTAAAGTGTAACGGGGAGTGAAAAATAGAAGCGGGAAAATGAAAATAATTCCCACTCCATCAAAAGCAAATTTTGTCCGTAAAAAGTGAAAAAGAAAAATGGAAGAAGCTCTTCAATGACGAAGACGAATGCTCAGTAAATCCATTATTTCGTCAGTGGTAAAGTCGAAATTACAATAAATTGATGAAGAAGTAGATTATAAGAATGACATTTTGGGGGTCGATTTAGCGGAAGCATTGCGGGAAGATGGCGAAGATGGGCATGGTTGCGCAAGGGAGTTGCGATTCAACTCTGAGAATGTAATTGTCTAATTTATTGCGTTGTGGTAGATGTGTTTGGTTAATTTGTTGGTTGGTAATGAAATACCATTACAGAAATATAAAATTAAAGGTTGGGTAAGAGATTAGGGTTTGTGACTCCGTAGTACACATTGTTGTAAATATGAGTACATGTTGAGTGTTTATAATTGATTAATTATATTGGGTAATTGGTAGTGTGTAATTCAGTAATTATTGTGTATATTGCTTGAATGGTGATTGTTATGTGGGTATTGTAATGTGATTAAATGAGTGGTTTAATTTGGGATAAGTCAGTTTTTGTATCTTTAAATTTTGTTTAGTTGTTGTTTCTGATTGATGCTTGGTGAATTTAGTTTGACAATTGATGGACATCTTGGGGTCTATTTAGTTATGGCAGTGGTTTTCAAATATTGGCTTAATGGTTTGTGTAGTCATTGAAAATGGGCATAATAAATGTTATGATAGATGTTGTTCTTTATACTGTGTTGTTATGTTGTGTTGTTTGTTATTGTTTGTGCTGGTTGTTGTTGGGTTATAATGATCTATTAGATTGAGTTGTGGATGTATATGTGTTGTAGGTGGGTGTTGGTGAGGCACTTGGAGAAGATAGTGAGGATGATGTATATGTTTATGAGGAGGGGTTAGAGAGTGGGGATGGATTTACAGAAGGAGATGAGGAGGAGGATGATGAGGGAGAAATACAGGGGTTAGATTTTGAGGAAGTAGAAGTTGAGGGTGGTGTTGAAGATGAAGGGGCAGAGGCAGGAGGTTCTTCATTCATAACACCAAAGAAGGGAAGGGTATTGGTGCACACTGTATTTGGTGTGGAAGAGGAAGTATCACCCCCAACTTTAGGCATGGTATTTGGTAGTTTGGATGAGGTAGATAGTTATTTCTGAAGCTATGCTAGGTAAAAGGGGTTTGGTATAGTGAGGGCTGCTGCTGGGTGGTTGAAGGTGAAGAAGGAATTGAGGAATGGAAAGTGTTGTAAGCAGCAAAGGAATGCTAAGTGGACATGTGATTGCTATGGAAGACCTTCTAGGAAGCGTAAAGTTGGTCCACTAAAGGAAGACTTGATGCAGGATGAGGAAACGGTTGTACAACGGAAGACCAAAAAGAGTGGATGCCCTGTGGAGTTGTATGCCAGTGTTAATGCGGAAGGGAGCTGGGTTGTTCGTAGGCTAAACTTGGAGCACGCTGGCCACATAGTTACACTGGGAAAGTCCAAGGATGTTTCCATGTACCAGAAGTATGATTTGGTTGGTAAAAATAAACACTTGGTGAAACAGATGGTTACGGCGAAGAAGTCAAGGGTGAAGGTTTCCCAGATGTACAATTGTTTTGCTCAAAGCGGAATGGAGTGGATCAGATGACATTTACTCAAAAAGACTTGGAGAATGCAGTGGCTGAGGTTGAGCAAAAGGGGGCTGGAGCTTACCGAGGGTGATGCAAATGGGATGATAGAGTACTTCAACAAAATGAGTGCTGATAATCAATTTTTTTTCCATCTTTATAGGTTCGGGAAGGACGGCGCATTACAAGATGTTGTATGGG